TTTTGAGAATTAACGTAATTGTTATGTATTAATGTGAATTTCAGAGGTTGCGGTGTAATTGGACAATATTTGCTTTTTAAATTGTGGTATTTGTGTTAACATGTTAAATGTCAGTATTCAGACAGCTTGTGAAATGCAGGGTTTTCAGTTTTTTGAACTGGGCTAAAACAAAAGCTAATTCTTCATCCTTGAATCTTAAAAAAAACCCAAACGAACTGATGGGGCCTATAAATCAGCCTCATTAGAGGCCAGGGTATGTGGATTTGTCACTGTTGCATTGACCTTTTTGATTTATCTATTTGAATACCTTAAATGATGGCATTTGGTGACACCTTGTGCCAGGTTATTTCATTCCCTGTGAGGGAGGGTGATTCTGTTGGCTTATGTGCACAACCTTGTCACGTCTGAGACTCCTACAAAATAATTTCTTCCTTACAGGCCAGTCTGTTACACTAAAGCAGAAATCTCAAGACTCTCTGCATCCCAAATTCGGAACCTTAATCCTGTGTTTGGGGGATCAGGACCAGCTCTTACAGGACTTCGGAATCTAGGGAACACGTGCTATATGAATTCCATATTGCAGTGTCTGTGCAATGCACCTCACCTGGCTGATTATTTTAACAGAAACTTTTATCAAGATGATATTAACAGGTAACCATCTCTTATTCCAATCCTTTCGTTTATAATTGAAGGGGAAAAAAAATGCTTTTACAGTTGTTAATTTGAAAAAATAAATATCACTTGGGTTAAGGGGGATGATGGTTCATTCAAGTAGGAGACAAATGCTAACTTGCAAGAGTCTTGACTTTTTCAAAATTCATGTGTGACAAAATAGGTTTTACTGGAAAATTTTAATTTGGTTTTGCTTACCACATTAATAAATAAGGTGTACTAGAGTCTCCTGAAACCAAACAGAATATTTAAATAGCAGTATACAAAGCAATACCTCACATCAGCCTGGTCTTCAATATGGAACCAAATTACAGTGCCAAAGTAGACAAAAATTTTAACTCTGTCTAACAGCCAGTTTTTCTTAGTCTAAAGAAATTGCTTTGAAATTGGGGTAACATCTTGTATTAATATCAGTAATTTTTAAAAAAATAATTATTTGAAGGGCTCACTTTTTTTTTGTTGTTTGCTTAATTTTATAGGTCAAATTTTCTGGGACATAAAGGTGAAGTGGCTGAAGAGTTTGGTGTCATAATGAAAGCTTTATGGACAGGACAGTATAAATATATCAGTCCAAAAGACTTTAAAATTACAATTGGGAAGATTAATGACCAATTTGCAGGATATAGCCAACAGGACTCCCAGGAATTGCTTCTCTTCCTAATGGATGGCTTGCACGAAGACTTAAATAAAGTAAGGAATACACTTGTAATTAATCATATACCTGTCAGATGATCAAGGGAAATAAATTTTCAAAAGACCCTCTTATTTCATATGATGATGTTGTTACTGGAACCTTGTATAGAAGGCAATGTGAGTATTCAGAATGAAAGTAGGGATTTGAAACAGTATAAGGCAATGGAAGAAGCCTAAACTAAATAAGAAAGGGATGGCTACACAGACACGTTTAAATATTCATACAAATATTCAATATTGCCTATAGATGAGACTTCCTATTTTTATTGTGTTACTCTATGGCTGTGGTATTTAACCTTCTGTTACCCAGGCTGACAACAGGAAAAGATACAAGGAAGAAAACAACGATCACCTGGATGACTTCAGAGCAGCAGAACTAGCCTGGCACAAACACAAACAGCTCAATGAATCCATTATTGTGGCACTCTTTCAAGGCCAGTTCAAGTCTACCGTGCAGTGTCTCACCTGCCACAAGAAGTCCCGGACCTTTGAGGCTTTCATGTATTTGTCGTTGCCGCTTGCGTCCACTAGCAAATGTACGCTGCAGGTACGTGGAGCCAGAGAGAAACAGTTATGGGCAAAGACACAGCTCTGTGACTGCATTGTGGTGTTGCTTCTGCTCAGCTTCTTGTTGGAGGGCTTGGTCAGTATTCCAGCTTAATTTACACTAAGACATAAAATAGGAAGAGATCTGAGTCTTTATTATTTTTTAATTCTTCTGAAGTTTAAAAAAATAGGTCATTCCTAAAAACTTTTAAAACAGAAGCAGGATGGAAGTAGTGAAGCTACAGTAGCAGAAGAGGCATGTATAGTATTTCCTGTTGTAGATCATAGCATAAATATTTTGTGGTTTTAAACAAAATATTTTAAGTATACTTTAAAGGACTTGCAGCTAATTAATATATGCAGTAAAATGTACTTCCACACGTGGATTTAAATTACTTGTCCTAATTTTTGTGAAACATAGCATGCAGATAATTGATGCAGGTTAACAACCACATCAAAAAGAACTATTTTTGCTGCACTTCTGTAAACACCTGCCCTTCACAAGCTGTGTTTTTATTTTGTTTTAGGAATGCCTTAGATTGTTCTCCAAAGAGGAGAAGCTCACTGATAACAATAGGTTTTACTGTAGCCATTGCAAAACTCGAAGGGATTCTTTGAAAAAAATAGAAATTTGGAAATTACCACCTGTTCTTCTTGTGCACTTGAAACGGTAAGAGAAATGGCAGTTGGTGAAAATGAATTAGGATGACGCCACCAGGTTTTGATGGAGGTTGATTGTTCCAGTGCAATAGCTAACCATTTTTACTTGGAGAAAGTTTCAGATGTATTTCCAGTTGTAACATTGGAAGAATTTAATTTTCATCCAATGCTTTTTATTAGGCTGTAGTTCACAAAGCACTTGTACAAGTAGTCTCTTCGTTTGTGCTAAGAAACGCACGTGCAAACATTAAGAAAGTTGGAGGCCAAATGCTTTAGTTGAAATCTGGTTGCGAACAGAAAACAAGCATGCTTAAGATTATTAAATAGCTTGTGAACAATCTGTAACTCTTAATGATGCTTTTAAATTCTCTAGATTTTCCTATGATGGAAGATGGAAGCAAAAGCTTCAAACTTCTGTAGATTTCCCGTTGGAAACCCTTGACCTTTCACAGTATGTTATTGGCCCAAAGAATAACTTGAAGAGATACAATCTGTTTTCAGTGTCGGTAAGTCCGCGTGTCACGTGCCAGGGCTTGGGCTGGCCTCTCTGCCTGACCCCTCTCGCTTTCCTGGCTGCCTGCCTGATGGCACATGGCGTTGAATGCTAAAAACAAAGATGGGCATTTAGTAAAAATCTCACATTCTAGTTTATTTCCCTAACCAGGGCAGAAATGGCAGTTTTCAAGGCCATTAATTCTTTTCTTCTTACGTTTACAGAACCATTATGGCGGGTTGGATGGAGGACACTATACAGCCTACTGCAAAAATGCTTCAAAACAACGCTGGTTTAAGTTTGACGACCACGAAGTGTCTGAGATCTCAGCATCATCCGTGAAATCCTCAGCTGCATATATTCTCTTCTACACTTCTTATGAACAGCGAGCAGTGGATCTGGCCACGTAAAGTAGTGGGGGTTAAGAAAACTGGGTTTTCCTTTTTATAAGAGCAAAAGTAGGTATGGGAACGCATATAAATATGCAGAGCTGTGGCATACAGTCACAGATGCGGGGATGGTTGCAGCAGCTTTTCTGCAAGCAAGCTCTTTCTGGTCAGTGCCAGTGCTTAAAAATCAGAAGACAGGTTAATAATGCTTGTGGTAATACTGCCATCTGTGAAACCATTTAAAAATCATACCTGCATTACCATTTATTTCAAAAGAAACTATATTTTTAGTCTGCTCCAAAATTAAATTCTAGCTTAGTCATCTGAAATCTATTAACAAGTAGTTTAAAATGTCTTAAAATCCCAAGGCATATCTTGATTTTTGTTATTTTCTTTCACTGTTATGGCCTTTTCACATTTCTAACCTTAAGCTTGATTCTACTGTGAATACTCTAGAATGATGTAAACAGTTAGGAATGTAAGTGTACATATTGATTGCATACTTGCACATCAGAACTATGTATATATTAAGATGTTGTCCTTTTTGTGAGAATCTCTCAAACTCAGAGGATTGCGTTTATTTGCCAGCTCTAAGTAACTGCAACACTACTTAATAAAAAGCAGAGCTGTATTTTTTTCTGTTAGCTTTTGTCAATATTTGTGCACTTCAGAGTTATTCTAAACAAACAAGATTTTTCCTTTTTAATTTTTTAATATAAATTTTCATGTACACATGCATTAAAAACGTTAATGAAGAAACAATTTAAAAATATAACCTCTTAAATGTATTTTTGGGTTTGGTGTATTTTCATTCTCAACTAGTTGTGCAATGGTTAGGATTCTACCTAATGACAGTCTGGATCATATCATACAGCTTAAAGGTTCTTTAGATTAAAAAACTACTACTTTCTGTAGAACTGATCATTTTAGGTAGTATTTTAGTTGCAACGTGCATTTTCCTGTTCTGGATTTGGATTAGTTTTCCCCCTCTGAGGCAAAAAAAACCAACCAAACAAACATCTTAAATCTTACATTCTGAGGTTTTACATGATTGCATATGTGTGTCTTGCTGATGGAATTAAGACAAGGATTGGTTATTTTCCAGAAGCTTACATGCTGCAAACAAATTTGCAGTGCAAGAAGGACAAAAATGACAGTACTAGTATAATACCTTTTTCTTTCTCTTATACTAACATTCACTTTGTCCCTTGCTGTCTTCTGAAACATAACCTCAGTGATCTGGTCATATGCCTTGGTGTCCTACTGTCAGGCTCTGAAAGGCAGCTTAAAACAACAGAGAAACAGGAATTTTCAGGTAAGTGCATCTATATGCTCAGCATTTGTGCTCTTTTGAGAGATGTATGAGGTTTGTCATGAAAACAACCAGTAGACCTTGTACAAGTGGAGCAGATGCACATTGCCTAACAGGCTCAGAAGCTGTATTGCTTCCTGAAAGATCACAACAGATGATTGGTAATGCAAAGACTCTATAGTTTATTGGTAGAACAGGACTGTCAATTAATTCTAGCTGCTGGCCTGCTGGCTGTTCATTTTCCACAGCAAGCAAATTTTTGATAGGTGCTGAGGTGGTCTTCACAGGTGTAGAACAGGAGATAAGCTGTGTCAGTCTGTACTGAGGATTTGGGGATCTTGGTGATCTGTGCATCATCAAAGCTGTACCAGTTGTCAGGGCCTGAGCGCTTGCAGAACGCTGTGTAGTGGCCATTTTCCAGAAAACCAGAGTGGTTCTGCAACAAATGACAAAATGTTAAAAGGGAAATTTCACTCTTTCTCCTTAGAGGCAAAGCTAGGAATTCACAATTGGTTTTTCTTTGCACTTGGAAAAGATTGGCAAGAAGGCTCTGGCCCCCTTTGGCCTGCGTGTTAACTCAAGTAAATGACTTAAGACAGAATAATAGAGAAACATAATCATAATGTATTTCCTCTGTTATGCTTCTCTATTTTTCAATATTAGATTAGCAACCCAGCTGTTAGCCCTGACACAAGTCACTTGCAGTGAGTGATGGAAAATGAGACCATTCAGCCCTTACTCGGGGTCCCTGCAGGATCAGCTTGTGTGTTTATGGGGAGAAGGGCGAGGATGCTCCAGTCAGGCCTTACTCGCCAGGAGCACGTGCTTGAATGATAACATCTCCTCTCTTCGGTTACAAACGGTTACTGGATTATGTCCATGTCAGGTTTTAAAAAAAAATTTACATATAAAACATAAATCATATACATATATGTTCTTCAGCTGCTCCATGAGGCAGGGCATTACAAATAAAAGCAGGAAAGGCAAAACTCACCACGACAGCACACAAGCTGTACTCTGCACCCTCACAGAGAAGCGAGGAACTGTAGGGAGAGAGCTCCAGATTGCTGAGGGGATAGTGGACATTAGTTGAGAGTTTCCTTCTCTGCTTGCCTTGCCACTCAAACCTGAAATAAAATTTTGAGCTATTTTAAGTAACGCTAAGCTCCTTTCTTGCATTGTGATCGTTGCTTAACTGACTTTCTTAGGGAAGAGAAAAACAACAAATGAATACCCACCATTCTGAAAAAGAAGAGTCTGTTATTATTACAGTAAACTAAAACCACAAGAGATGTCCAGCAAGAAAAGCAAAGCTCTTGCTTCCTCATCCTTCTGTCTATTAGAAGTGGACACAGATGCCAAGAACAGACAGATGTCAAATCTCTGCATCACTGTAGCTGTGTCCTAAACATTTGGGACTGCACTGTCATTGTCAGCTCTTCTTTCATGCCAGGCTCCATCCCTCTTTCCTTTATAACTTTTAGTACAACACTATACTTTGAAACATTTATAATGTGGCCAAGGGCTGCAGCTGGGGACCATCGGTTCCTTTGAGCATGTCAAGGAAAGCAGCTGTTGAACAGGAAATTAAATAATAAATTTACATAACAGTTCTGGAAAGCCAAATCATCCCAGAGTCATTTTCATTAGTGGGGGGCAGTTGTTTAGAATAAATTCCTACAAATACATTTAGCATCTGGCCATGTGCGGCTAGTCACGTCTGCTAATCAGGACTTCTTGCACTGATGCACCTCTCTTCTTTAGTAGACTCGGTTGTTTAGACCCCCTTTAGTTAAGGGATAAATAAAAATATCGTGTCTCAGCCACAATATTGACAAGCAAAATGCCCTGTTTTAGGCCTGCACTTAGAAACCATCACAAGCTCTCCCACTTGCCACACAAACTCTTACTCGCAGGGATGTCTGGCTACATGAACTGCTCTACTGGTCTGTGGCTAGGCACTCCTCAGGGCAGCTTTTATTCCCTTCAGAGAAGAGATCTCAAATGTAACGAGTACAATTTGGTAGGCTGTAGTACAGAGCAAAGCAGAACCCTTTGAGATTTCAAGAATGCACCTTGCATGTTTGGCAGGTGTATTTCTGCAGCTGCCCATTTAGCTTCTAAGTATCAAAAGTATAAACCCACTAACTGACAGTGTTTTTTTCCTTTTATGTAAATGAGACTGTCCTTCACACCTCGCAGCTCCCAGGCACCGGCCTTGGCCTACCCCACATGGACTGTACCTCTTCAGGTGAAAAATAATGATCTCTGGTGTCTTGGTTAGGGTCGTGTTCATGACAGCATCTTGTTTTTTTCCACATGAGGAACAGTGGATTTGATTGTTCCAAGTCAGTATGTCTTGCTGAAAGAAGCATTTGAGACAGTCCTTTGAAAGAAAAAAAAATAAAAAAATCATTTGATCAAACAGATCTCTACCCTTGAAAGTTCTAAGCAAGGAAAGCGAAGGGTTTGCTGTGTTATGCAGCTCTCTTCCTATTCAAAGCATGATGTAGCAAGGCCGGCATTAGAAATACTCTCAGAACACAAAGCAGCAAACATTGGCTTCCTTTTTCCCCCCAAATGAGGGAACACTTTGATGAGTGAAAGAAACCCTCACAACTGCTATTGAATAATCTTAATATCCTTCATCCCATGGCAACTCGGGAGCATTGCTGCCATAACCTTACTACAGCCTCTGCAGTCCAGAGACCAGTATAGAACCCCCACTTCTCTAGGATCAACTCGAAGGCGCCGTTACTGCCCAGGAAAGCCAAGGGATTAATGACAGGTATGAGTCTAAGGCGCCTGTTCCCCCCAGGCAGAAAGCGGCACGACCGTACTGGGCGTCCTACCTGCAGAGAGCACACGCTCTTGGAGGGGACAGGCAGGGAGAGAATGGTGAAGCTCTCGGGTCTGTCGATGGTGGTCTTGCATTCCAGACACGTGATACTGTAACTGAGTTGTCCCTCAAACAGCTTGGTGATAATAGATGTTTCACTGACACTCCCTTTGCTTCCTTTTGCGCTGGTTAAACGGCGCCTTTTGCTTGACTGTACAGAAGAAAAAGAAACAACCAACCAAATGTAGGTAACCAACTGCTTCAGCAGTGCCTTCACTGGGTGTTAATGGTTGCTGCCCACTGCCTGTGTAGTCAAGTCTTGTCACTGAACTTGGCTCTAAAATGCTATTACTTGACTGGATATTTCATACATACAGAATATGTTAAATTATTTTTCTGAAATAAATGAAACACTAATATTCTGGACATTAGGTGGGGGTATATGGCTATGAAACAAAGGAAGAATTGACAATTCTTAGCAGCCACAACGTAGTTCAAAAGAGGATAGATAATTATGCTAAATCACAAAATGCAAAGCAGCAGCCCTGAAGTCCCCAAAATGCTTACATTCGTGAGAGCCTCATGGAGCTCGTTCAGCACACAGATCAGAAACTCCTGTGCATCCTGCTGAGCTATCTTGCTAAAGGTGGGGTGCCGCATCTCAAAGACTGAATGAAAAACCTCTGGGGAAATGCAGTCATATTCTCCAAGCCAGATATCAGACATCAGCCAGCTAAAGGCAGTCACAGACTCATCATTCTCCCTTGGAAAAAATAAACATAAGTTTCAGGTAAAGTACAAGAAGATGATGGCTCTACCTTCAAATGGGAGCATGACACAAACTTAGAACAGGTACAGTATGGCTCTGACAGCCTGTCCTTTGGTTTGAGGGACTCTGCAGATAGCACAAAGTAGCAGGAATCATCGGGACAGCAATGGTAGTAACTGGAATTACCATCAAAGTGACAGAAAAAAAGCATAATGCTGAAGTTACCCAGTGAGGAAACCAGCTTGTTGCCAATTGGACTCTAACAGCCTAGTGGGGAGCTGGTAGGTGGCTGCCTCGGACAGTCCCATGGCAACATATGTCCTTTTGGAGACAAAGAGCAGTGCCAAATGGAAAGGTGGCAGTAGCAGGAATCAATGGGCTTACTTGTGCAGGGCTGCGTGGTGCCTCCCCGAGAGGAAGTGCTGGAGCAGGGGCGGGAGGCTGCAGAGGCACTGCAGGACCGCGTTCATGTAGCACGTGCTGCCCAGGTTGCTCAGGCCCGTCAGCCCCGGGCACCGCCTGCTCACCTCCATCAGCTCCTCGCAGGACTGCTTCACACCCTCCATGAAAATGGAGTTGTACCTCTACCTACTAGGAAATAAAACCACAACGGTGGAAAGCTAAAGTGCTACAGTGCTCTTTGTATGATGATTTTTAAAAAGCGCTACTGTCCAAAGACATTTTCTGCTGTTCCAGGATCTTCTCTAAAGTTATATTCATGTTTACTTCCATCACGCTAATACTAGTAAAGACTCTCCCACACTAAGCTCTTCCCAATACATTGAGACACATCATTAAGAGGTATTAGTTAAATACCTGAGGTTTTCAAGTTGTTCCTAAAATTTCACTCACTCTCTGACTCTGTAACACAATTACTCAAAAACCAGAACAAGCTGTAAATAGCTATATTAAGAATCTGTCCCTACAGAACAACATTTCATTTCCTCGAGTGGTCTGGTACTTAGGTATTTTCTAAAACAATAGGTTGCAGTCTGGATGCTACGATGAACAGGTTGCTCTTTAGACTTTTGCCATAGAAATATTACTTGATTCATATTAAGAAAATGTTACTGGGTTTGTTTTCTTGATGCACAGGTCTGTCCTGGGCCAAAGTGTCCCCATCTCCAGTACTGTCTGAAGACAGCCCTTGCCCAACCCAGACATACTTGCCAGGGTTGCCATTCTTGAATTTTTAGAGACTGCTGCTTTATTCTGATGCAGGAGAGAAAATTCTGAAACTTCAACAATCTTTTGTAGAGCAAGAAAAAACAATTCTTTCCCTTCAGCTGAATCCCACGTGCCCAAGTTCCAATTTCTTGGAGATCTCCCAGGCTGACAGACATTTTCTATCATCTAATAGCTACAAAACTGTTTCCTTTTATATTTCAATACCTGCAGAGCCAACATTTCCAAACAGCCCTACCTGTAGACCAGTCTTCTATGAAAATGGTAAATTCCCCCTTTTATACCCATCTCTGAGAAACACTAACTCAGAAGAGAAAACGTGCTGGGACTGTCAGGTATGGAGGGTGGCCGGGAAGGCACCGGCGGCCTCATGGGGTGCCCGTGCTGCTCCCAGCTCAGGGAGGTGGCCTCACCCTCTTCACACCTTACCTCTTCCACTGGGTTTTGTGGCACACCTAGCGCTGTCCCGTGCCATTGCCCAGGCTACCATCACTTTGTGACATCATTCTGCCCCACAGGTTCTCACCCAGGGGAACACACCCAGCCCGACCCGCTTCCGTCTCCTCCCTGTGTTCCTAAACAACCTTGGGAAGAGCCGGACACTCACCCATTCCACTGGGCAGAGAGTTTCAGCCTGACCCATGTTTGTTCCTGTTTGCTCATACTTGTATTAGCATTTATTATTGCCATGCTCTGATGGAAGGGAAGCGATGGCTGAGGGTGGTGACCATAAAAAGATGAAACTGCCTCAAAACACCACAATGAATCAGTGAATCAGTTGATTGGCGTCTAGAAAAATTTCCTGGGGAAGAAAGGGGTAGTGGCACAGAAGTGTCTTATAAATAGCTAAGGAGACAGTGTCGTTGACCTCTGAATTTCATACACTACTGAAGAGCAGGAGGGTTTTCCCGTTTAACATACAACTTGAGAAGTAATAATTTTCACAGAAGAGGCCCAGGAACCCATTTAAAAAAAAAGAAACCCCTAATTATCTTTACTTGTTAAACTTCAAGCAGAGGATGTCTCCTGGCACTCTTTGGACAGTGTATCTGCTGTCCCTGCTATTAATCTCCCAAACTCTGTATTTGCAAACGGAGATATAAAAGCAACACACACATCCCACTACTATTCAAAATCTACTTTTTTGTATATGGAGTTGTCATATTGTACATACTTTACCAAGAGTTTCAAATGTTTTAAAATCTAAATTATAACCCCATGGGTTAAACCTAAAACTTAAATACATACAAGTGCCTGAATATGTACTGATATGTAAGTATATTCATAGGTTTTCTTTCCACTGTGAAATATTCTGTTGACAAATCTCAACTAGCTATGAATTCAACCCTGTCTCTTTCAGGAAATTTATTCGGTTCAAATATGGAGGTGCTTTGTCCAAGGGCCAATAATGGACAATGAAATACCCTGACATTTCCAACACACAGGCTGAGAATTTATGGACTCTTATTCTTCTCTCTGTGTAGGTATAGACTGAAGCCTGTCATACCTCTGTAATACACCTGTACATTACTACAGGACTTCTGTAAATTCTCTCAAAGCCTGTGTTGATGGAGCCTTCATTCTCATTTCTGTGAGAGCATCACCAATGTTTCTATGATTCCAAGGCCCCTTGTTCACACCTGCAGCCCTTCACAGGGAAAACAAGAATGGCTGAACTTCTAATAATGCACACCAGTACAGAAAGGAAATTCAAATAGGAATTAGGACAGTTGCAACATTGGAGAAAATACCAAGGAAGGACAAGAACAGTAATGAATTCATTTTACTGTGTTAGACTTTAGCCAGTTAGAGAAATCGTATTCAGTGGGATGACTCTCCATCTTTTACTGATTTTTATCTTGTTTTCCACAGAATTATAGAACAATTTGGGTTGGAAGGGATCTTGAGGATCACCTAATTCCAACTCCCCCACCCTGGGCAAGGACACCTTCCAACAGACCAGGTGGCTCAAAGCCCCATCCAACTTGAACACATCAGTGTTGGGGCATCCACAGCTTCCCTGGGTAACCCATTTCAGTGCCTTGACACCCTCACAATGAAGAACTTCCTCATGCAATCTAATCCAAACCTACCCTCTTCCAGTTTAAAGCCATTAACCCTTGGACCTATCACTACAAGCCCTTATAAAAAATCTCCAGCTTTCTTGTAGGTCCCCTTTAAGTACTGCATGGCTGCTATAAGGTCACTCTGGAGTCTCTTTCAGGTTGAATACCACCAACTCTCTCAGTCTTTATTGATAGAAGAGGTGTTCCACCCCTATGATCACTTTTGTGGCCCTCCTCTGGACCCACTCAAACAGGTCCATATCCTTCTTATGTTGGGAGCCCCAGAACTGGACACAGAAATCCATGTTCTCACAAGAGCAGAGTAGATGGGGGAAATCTGGGGAGAATAACCTTCCTTGACCTGCTGGCCATGCTTTTGATGCAGCCCAGGAGACAGTTGGCTTTCTAGGCTGCAAGCACACATTGCCAGGTCATGAGCTTCTTGTCAACCAACATCCCCAATTCCTTCTCCATAGGGCTGCTCTCAAACCATTCTCCACACAGCCCATATTTGTGCTCAGGACTGTCCCAGCCCAGGTGTAGGACTTTACACTTGGCCTTGTTGAACTTAAGAGATTCACAAGGGCCCAGCTCTCAAGCCTGTCAGTGTGAGGGTGATAAATCACTGGAATAGGTTGTCCAGACAGGTGGTGGAGGCCCCATCACTGGAGACATTCAAGATCAGGCTAGATGAAGCTTTGAGTAGCTTGATCTAGTTTAAGATGTCCCTGCTTATGGCAGGGGGGGTGGACTAGATGACCTCTGGATGTCCCTTCCAGCCCAGACATTCTATGATTCTATGATTCTGTCAAGGTATCCCTTCCCTCCAGCATGTCACTCACACCACATGGCTTGGCATTGTCAGCAAACCTGAAATTTTGATGCTTTGTATGATTATTTTTTTCTCAGTGTCTCCTTTATCCTTCATTTTAGCAGCTTTTCCAGTCTAGAAAAAACAAACCAAGAAAAGTCAAAATCAAAACTGTAGTATTTTGATGATAGGATGTATAGCTTCACATTTTGTTAGGGGAGGAAAGGGCTAACAAGGCTTTGTGTCACTAGTTTAGCTGCCATGCAGTTTTAAATATCCCTTCAAAGAAAGATAACCAATAAAATAAATTAGCTTTATTCTGCTGCCTTCTCATGAACCACTAGGAAATGACGTGGGTGTTTCCAGCGCTCCCGCTGCTCAGGGTACAGCTCCCCTAACCCCGTCTCTCTCACAGCTGCATCCCAGCCCCTGCTCTGCACTGCTGCTCCCACCCCACCACCTCTTTGGGCTCAAGGGAGGTCCCTCCCCAGTCTCCACGTGAGTGGAACAGAAGCCAGACAATATTTGTTGTTAATTGTTGGAACAAACACCATATTTTCTACCATGGGCTTAACAGAAGGATGCACTGACTGACACTGATGTGGGATGGAGGAAGTCAGACACTTCACTCAAACTTAAGGAAAGGCTGAGCTAAGGCCACAGCAGAGGCTGAGGAATGACCACAAATCTGACTCAAAGAAACAAAATTCTAGCAAATCTCTACAACAGATCTGCTCAAGGGTGCGAGGGATGGGGAAGCTTCCCCCTGCCCACCATCTTCGGCCAAGGGCAGCTTTTGTTCCATTAATTGCATTTTTGCAGAAACAAGGTGAGAGAAAGCTGCTGCCGGTTGCAATAGTCATTACTCACACCTTCTGAAAAAGGAAAGCCTGAAAGTTTCAGTGTTGGAAATAATCAGCTCACCATCCTTCTTGACCTCAAAGTTCCCTGGCAAGTAAGTTTTTCAGTTACTGTTCAAAAAGCAGGATGTCCTAATCCTCCTCTCCCTGCTCTGCAACACCCTTAGCAATCGTTGAGGCTTAAGTTTCCATTTTTACTACTACTTACATCACTACCTGGATCTCATACTTAGCAGAAGCTCAACAATATAGCAGCATGGCACAAACATGGAAAAAGAGTGCCTTTTTTCTTTTAATTAGCTACTGGTGTAGTGCAGTAACACCTGATGACATGCCTTCACCCTTCTACCTGGTCAAAGAGCACGGAGATGTATTTCATCCTTACCAATGAAACAGTAATTAGCCCTATACCCCTGGCATATCTTGCCTTTCCTGCCCACTTCATCTGGAATCTCCGATTCAAGAACTTGCTCCTTGCTGTTCTTGGCAAGCTCCTGTTACAGGACTAAGTATTCTCATCATCTGCTCTAAAAAAGCAAAAATAAATTACAACCCCCAAATGCTTAGTAGCTACAAATTGTTCACAAGCTTTATCTTTACAGCGATGTGCTAGTGCATGCAACCACAGTATTTTCTAAAGCAAT